CCCCCCATAAAAAAAATCACGTCTCGTCTCATTCTGGATTTGTATCGCCCTCTCTGTTACGTTTCCTGACCGCGACAATTTTAAATGGGAGAAGGGGTCAGGGAAAGCGTAGAGACATAGCATAATTCGACAACAATGTGCTTGTAACACTTGGATGCATCAAACAAAAAAGTTACATTTAAAATAAAGCATTAGCACCTACCCTAGGTACAATTTGAACCTACATTTTGGGCATACATTCAAATTTGTCTCCCGTGTTCTGAACGAGTGGAGGAATCTTCTTAATTGGGTGTAAGCCGAAGCGCCCACTCACTCAGATTGAGGTATTGTGTGTGTGCGATAGGCAGCAGTCTAAATTTCTTGAACGGCTGCAACAAGAATAACGTTGAAATGGATGTACTCTTGCGCGAATTGCGCGCTCTAGGGAATGAGATACACTGGTAAAAGAAGTTTGCAAAATTTGCACATACCAACGTGTGCAAGTTGTGATTTTGCACATTACATGGTGTTTAAGTCAAGTTGCACACTTGCGTGGTGTGCAAATTTTAGACGTTCTGTAGACGTTTAAATTTTACACACTTGGATATACACAGCTCTAGGCTATCAATAGGAGCACCATATGGTGACTCCCGCTATAATTTTCGGATGTGTCGAAAGTTTAAACACTAATTGACGTATAACCCAGTGAGACACCACTATGTGTGTAAAAAATGCACACTTGCACTTGAACTTAAACATCAACTGGCGTGCAAAATTTGTTTTACCAGTGTAGATAGAGAGAAGGGGGGGGCAAAAGGGATAGGCAAGGCCGGATAAGGTCAGCAGCGATAGGGAGTAGCTTTAGCCGTTTTTATTCCCGATTCTGCGCTAGCGAGGTATCTTTGTGGCCCGTCCGGTCAGAGGTGTTCATTATACAGACGATAGATGGATGGGTAGATGAGGCTGGGTTGTTGAGCGATAAGGGGCGAGCTTGGAGTGCCGCTGAACGCTGTGTCAAGTGCATGTAAGCTTTATAATACGAGTGCCTTGTTCATTGTGCAATGAACCCGATGCGACCGAGTCCAGGTGTGTCTCCTGCCTGCACTGCATCAAATGTTTGCTGGTCCGACTCCGGCCGGACCCGGACCCGAGGCCTCTTTCCTGCAACGCATTTTCCAACGTGCACCTTTTGTTCCAATAGACACGCACAGCACAGCCCGGCGCGCTATCAGCTGGTGATAAGACACTGCAAGGCCGGTCGGCAGTCTGCTTGGCGACGCACCTACCCTGCCTACGGCATGTTGAGATTATAACGGAAATACTTATGTGTTATGAATAAATATAACGTTAAAAGTTTTACTTTCAACTGTGTGAAATATTTATAGTTTTGCAGACAAATTTTGCATCATAAATTTCGATACATCGGCTCATTTTAGTCCCAATGATTTAACATGGGAGCGTATGTATGACTACATGATGGTCATGCCGCAGGGAACGTGCTAAGAGTGGTTTGTAAATTTACAATTGTAAATTTAATATTAAATGTACAAAAACTATCTTAAAGTTTGATATACTTAAAGTTATTTGTCAAATAGAGTTTTGGGCCAAAGAGTCCGAGCACAGGCCCGTCAAATAACGGTAAATATAGTAAGTTTTGAAAAAAATAATAAGAGGAACATCATGTCGGGCCTTGGATCTGTTGACCCTTTAGGAGCAAAAATACGGCCCATAGTCGATAATGCTACGGGACAAGCAATATCTCAAAGCCCCCTGTTGCAAAACGACCTGCAGATCATGACGAGATACGTTATGAGAATACTGCGAAAGGTGATTCACTTCGGTTTACACTATACTACAAAGCCACAATAAACCACTGGCGCAGATACCCTGCTAAATGTGTGAGTCACAATCCTATTCACAGCCCCCAAAAAACATTGGTGGGTTCAAGCACATTTGTTCTCTGGTCTGCATTCCACAATCCGCAATTCAATTTTCGGCTGAATAAGCGTTGCAAAATTATCATAAAATAAGTAAATCGTGGCACATTTTTTTTTAAAACAAGAAAGCATTTTTCTGGGCGCGCTTAATCAACAGCAGTAGTTTGTAAGCAGTGACCCGGCGCAAGTCTCCCTTCAAAATGTGAACTGTGATGTTGTGGTCGTTGGACTTGGATGTGACAGCTTTTCCTGCATCACAATGGATGAAACAAGTAATGAACACTTTCACGAAAGGTCGTCATGATAAAAGTTTATAGGCGGGTGGCGAGTGCTGGCTCGGGGAAGGCGGACATTGTATTCTGTTCATCTACATGAAGAGGCCAGAGTTACAAGGAGGAGATTAGCGCGACGAAAAATTAAGGCTGATTACAAAGAAAAGACTCCGCGCACCCGCTAGCGTTTGCAGAATGGCCATACTGCAGCTGCTAACGCTAACCGCGCCCCAGTAATGGTTTCTTCTCTTTTTTTGCCGGTGGCCGGAAGTTTTAACACTGATTGAGCACGAGTGAGATACGTCACGGACGAGATGTTCCACTCGGGCTGATGGTCCGCGTAGGGTAGCAGTTGATTGTCCTATCATTTGTGTGTCCAATTTTAAAGTGTGTGGTACTCAGCTCGAAGAAAAACAACATCAACTGTGATCATATATTTTGGCCAGTCTTCCAATACAATTTATTGCGACCAGAGTACCTGTAGCTAAATAAATCTAAATTATTTCTCTTGGACATTATTTTTTCATCACTAGGGTTTATTTTTTCGGGGTACTTGTCAAAATCACCCAGCAGCTGGTCGTCGCGTCACCTGATAACATACAGAACACGGTCGAGAGTGTAAGAGAGAGAGAGAGAGAGCGAGCGAGCGAGCGAGAGAAGGAAGGAGTGGCAGACAGAGAAAGAAGGTGTGACCGGATGAAGCTAGGAGGAGCGTTCCCCCCCCCCCCCCCCTGCGTGTCTGCTTCGTCGACTACGGAACGGTGGAAAAGTTCCCCCGTATCCAAGATCCGCTAAAAGTGACGAATGTGTCATAATGACGTAATCCGCTGAAGGCGCTCATTGAAAACTGATGAGTCTGCCGCAGTCAGACGAAGAAGATGGTGGCGGATGGTGGTGGATACGAGGGTGGTCGTGATGCATGCATATATTCGGTAATGAAAGTGCAAAGCCTGCTCTCTCTGTAATGCTTGACAAACATGAGTGACATAAATTACCGTACCTGCGTGCGTCTAGAACCATGTATGTGGTTGCGCCGTCCGCACATTTGGGTTGACTAACCAGGGGCGCTGAGGGGCTGGGGCGGGGGAGGATCGGGTGCACCGGAAAGGTCCAAAGGGAGGGCGAGGATGTTTGAGAAAGTTTACCGAACAGCTCACTGCGTTGACTCGAGGGAGCGGAGCAGAGCGGAGCTGGTGACAACTCCGACCAACATTTGCGGTGCGACTCGAACAGTTCTCCCCGCGGAGGATCCACGCCGCCGCCGCATCAGCCAACTTGAGCGGGGCACTGCAATACGGTGGCCTTTTGGAATAAAACACGGAGTTTTTGTCAAGCTGCAGGCAGTGAGCGATTGGACAGTCTATTGCTTTCGGATAAGCGCGTAGTACCTGCAGACACACCCAGAGTGCCAGCAGACACGGCGAGCGTCGGGTACTCTGCTCCTCAGCAAAGGTGATCATCATACACCCGCCATAGTAACTAAGGAAGAAGGGGGGGGGGGTATGCTTTGCGGTGTATGTTGGACCACTGGCGGCCCGCTAAGGCAAGGCCGGGCTGCCCGCCCGTCTGCGTGTGTGTTGGGTGTGGTCACAATTATTATCTCATGCATATGGAAGGTAATATCTCGGTGTGTTTAACTCGGGCCCGGAGTTTCAAAATGGATAGTCCCCTCGCGACCGACGACTGGAATCATGGAAATTAGAAGACGGGCAAACGCGCGGGTCCAGGCGAGTCTTTACGTGTGATTCCACAGATGGGAAATTAGTAAATACATTTTTTTGTGTTTGTTTTCCTTGTTTTTTGTCATTGTTTTTCTTAAGTTTGAGCGTGTGAAATCAGTATACTTTACTGCACTTTCTTACTGCACTTCTTATTTACTGCACTGACGCGTTTACACAGGGTTTGTTGGACTGTTTACTTCCTCAAACGAGGAGGGGGGGGGTACAAATATTGTGGTTGCCTGCTGTTTGATCCAGGACCACTGTTAGGGTGGCCCACGGCAAAAAAATTATCAGACCGGCGGTTAGTTCATAAAGATCGAGATGACCCATGCTCTGGGCATTCCAAAACCGCCCCGTTCGTCCCGATCGGACCCCGGGAACCACTCGCTCAGCGTCTTTGCATTTTAACATGGGTTTCTTAAGGGCTTTTAGGTGTAAAATCGAAATACGACCCTGAAGAGTCAGAAAGCCACCGCAGAGCATTACAATTATGAAAGTCGTAATCTACGTTAAAAACTGAATCTGGCAATGTAACGTTCGTTACTGTAGCACCTAGGACCCAAATTTGCAACCTCTTATAAATCTCCATATTTTGAAAAATGAGGGAATATTCAAAGCTTGCCAAATCTGGGTACTGAGTGCTACAGTAACGAACGTTACATTGCAAGATTCAGTTTTTAACGTAGATTACGAATTTCTTAATTATAATGCTCTGCGGTGGCTTTCTGACTCTTTAGGGTCTTTTTTCGATTTTACACCCAAAAGCCCATAAGAAACCCATGTTAAAATGCAAAGACGTTGAGCGAGTGGTTCCCGGGGTCCGATCGGGACGAACGGGGCAGTTTTGGAATGCCCAGAGCATGGGTCATCTCGATCTTTATGAACTAACCGCCGGTCTGATAATTTTTTTGTCGTGGGCCACCCTAACCACTGTGCACTGGAGTCCATGGAAACCAACCAAATCATATTTTGGCAATACGGGGTAAACAAATTATGGGGTCCCTCCTGACGTCACCTGTGTGCATTGCATCCCTTTGGCTGTGAGTTGCAACAGAAACTAAACAACTTTTATTCCCCGTGTGTGTGCGCAGGTCGACCTGCCGGTCCGTCACGTGTACTATCTCTCGCACTTCACCGGGCGGCGGTCGCCATGCGGTCCATTGCGCGGAGGCTCAACGATATCTATGTAAGTCACAGCAAGGCTTCTGTGCGGCGGCGCACTCCTCGCCATACCGCTTTTTGGGGGGTTTCTTTCTATCGACGCCCCCCCCCCTTTTCTTCTTTTTTTTTCTTTCTCGTGATTATATGTCCACCGACTGTCCGTGCGCACGTGAGAGGTGGGCGGTTGCGCCACACTATCAGGTTAGCTATCGGGTGTCCGGATAGTTGAAGACGGACTCGAAAACCACTGACCCGTTCGCGTCCGAGCCTTATCTCTGCCGGCCACTGAATGGGGTGGGGGGGGAAAATAAAAGAGTTCGATATCGCAGCCGAGATGCGGAACCTCGGCCTGGCTGTGGCGGATGACAAATAAAAAGGCATAGCCGTAGCCGGGCGAACCCGCTGTACCGAGGAGAGTGCAGTGCCACCGCCGCCGCCGGTACCGCGCGGCCTCCCCGCGGCCCGCCCCGGCCCCGCCCCGCTTTAGATCGCGGATAAACACTTCGCAACACGTATCATTTTCTCTCGGCCGCTCGCGCCTCCGATCGCCCTAAACACCGCCCTTTTTGCTCTCTCGCCTCACTTTTATTTCCCCTTCCCTCACACCCCCACCCCGCTTCCCCCCCGCGCCGCGCTGCTCGCGCGACGCCCACCGCGATACCGATGCCGCTCTGTGCAATGCGATATTTCAATATTCATTAGCGTGTTAATTTGAGCTGAGATGGGCGGTTTGCAATGTGTAATCGCGCCCCGGACAGACCTGCTGCTACACTTGGCGGTGCTGTGCAAAGCGAACAAAACAATGTCACTTGGGTCTTATTTGAACTAATTGCTTCACCCAGAAAGCGGTGTTCTTGATTATTTCCGTACACGTCGAATACAGTTGAGAACATGTACTTAAAATGTGCCCCTTGGAACTTGGAACTTGTTAAATAGATATGTATATAGTTTAAGTTAAAGGGGCCATTTTAAGTACATGTTCTCAACTGTATTCCACTTGTGCTGAAATCAAGAATAACGCCTCTTTCAGGGTGATTTGTCGAAAAATGATGAGTCGGAATTAATCGAAAAAAAAATTTCTTCAGACAGTTCTGAATTTTTAGCAGAGAGCTCGCAGACCGCACGTCGCTTCCCCACCCCTAGAGGGAAACGTAAAGTCCCCACCCCAAAAAGCGAAGCACATATTTATGATTATTCCAGTCCGGCTGTTGACGGCGCGATACCGGCCGGTAATAGTTGCTCTATCGCCGCTGAACATCAGTGTCATCAATTTACAAGCAGCTCCTCTCGGTCCTCGCGTGACCGTACGGCGTCCGATATGGCTTTGTTGGCACTTAATTCCGACCCGAAAAAGCATTTTTTCATGTACCCTCGCGATAAAAATGACCAGAAAATGTTTTGAAACACCCACCTCGTTTTGCGTTCACATTCGTGTGTCTGTGTAATCTTTAGTTTTCTTAATATAGAGAGATGGTTTTGGAAGCAGCGTCCCTCGTTTTTGGCAGTGTGGTGGACGTTAGTGTTTGTCGCGCCGTCAGACGATTTTCCGCGATCAAGATGAATCGCACCGCGACCCAGGGATGAAAGATTAATAAAGTTCGGAAGCAAGCTGTGCCGCTTGCACCATCCCCCCTGTGTTCTCTCTCTCTCCCCTACCCTCCTCCCCCTTCTCCCCTCCTCGCCTCGTCCTTTCTCCTACCCCCCACCCCTCGGAAGTTTTAGGATTTTATTTCCCGCTTCACTTAAAACGTGACCAGCCGACCAGCCTATCGCCCGACGCCCAGGGGGAGATACCGCAAGCATTTTGAAAAATGCGTGATCCCAGCTATGGTGAAATTTCCGATCGATCGAGTCAACATCTGGGGATCTAAGTCCAGTAAATTGCAGGAGAGGGTTCCTAGAAATCTTGCAGACGATTATTTTATCGCGATCAAAGCTTTTGGCGGTCAGGCCACTGAAGAAGGTGACAGTGAAAAGGGTTGCGTAAGTTGTTTTTTTAGTACACTGCATACATTTTTTTGTCATTGTAAGCTGCCAGTGGGGAAGAAAATGATGCTCAAGTCTAGGGGCTTCGTACAACTTAGGAGGTTGCGGGCAGTGTGCCCCAGCAGAGTAGGTTGGAAAGGGTGGGAGGGCCGGAGAGGAGATGGAGGGTGAGGGAGGGAAAGGGAGGGGGCAACAGGTCGTGTCCGCGCACATCTTGACAGGCTTAGGTGGATGGAGTCCTCGTGCGCCGGAGGACACCTCGGTCCGCTTTCGTCTCCGCCCCACTCACCACACTACTGTGACTCGTTGTCACACTGCTGCTGCCAGGTTTCCGCTCGCTTTTTCTTTTTAGTCGGATTGATGTGAATAGTTATACAAGGTAGACGCACGTTAAAACCGTGTGAAGCTGAGCTAAATGTGCGTCTACCTTGGCCTGCGGCGCGCTAAAATTAAAATGTTTTCGCGATTTTGGTTGGCCTGCCTGTCCACCTCACATCCCACGTCTCACGCCAGGCGCCTCACTTTACGCCATCTTCCGGGCGATCTCCCCTTGCGCTTCCTGACAGAGCTGAGCATTTAAAGTTAAAGTTTAATTTCAAGTTCAAGTTAGGCTCAGCAATCATCGGAACTGATGACAAATTTAGAAGAATTCATCACCAACTCTCACACCGTCAAATTTTGAGACCCCCCCCTCCCCCTCCCTCTCCCCTCACTGGCGCTAGGGTTGCTGAGATAATCGCCCAATGCTGTTAGGACGTTATTAAGCGTTCGCGTGACAGGTGCTTGTCGCATGCCCCTCCTCTCCCTTCTACTCTACCCCTACCCCCTCTCTCTCCCTGCTGCTCGCTCTGGGCGGTGCTGCCCCCCCTCTAAGCCATAATTCAAATTTGCCGCCCCTTCCTCAACACGTACCTGCCTTATAAAAATAAAAATAAAACTGGGAACTGGAGGAAGAAGGGGCTGGGGCTGTCTGGTAGTGTTTTATAACCTAAAAATGTTCGCCTGACTGCATTAGCAGATGAAAGTCTTTATTATTCTTACTTTGTAATGAATCTTGCAGAAATACAATTGAAATGATGTGATGCGTCTTGCTACTGTTCTAGAGCAAACATGTGAGTCAAAATGTCGCATTTTTGCAAAATACACACTATCGGTCTCGCCATATGATACAAAAGCTTGCACTAACAGCGGCCCTAGGGACAGTGCCACCGCATCACTATCACCTTTTGCGATAAGATGTGAAAATATGTGTGAAATATGACACGGGCAACGCATCACTCAGTAAATAAATCAGTACACAGATAACGGAAGGGAAGGGCGCGGAGATTCAAACCTGAGCGAACGCCCTCTGCTGTCTTACCCCTTTTAAAGTAGCCAAAATTATCTTGTAGGTTCATTATATTGTGTTTTACTAATCGTTAAAGTATTTTTCGCGATAAGCATCAAAAACTAAATATTGTCTATTTTTCTTGCCCGTTTTATGCTGACTTGTGAAAAATTGCCCTGCACGATCGTTATCAGGGGTGCCCGTTGGGGTCGTATATCGCCGAGTTGACGGAGGTAATTACGCCCTTTCGGGTCCGTGCCGTTAGCTCGAAATGAATAAGTAATCCAAGCAAATTTTTTTCGCCTTCCCATTGTCATTTCTGGTATGACGCATCTGCCTTCAAAAAGTGTCCGCATTGCAACTGCAACTGCCTTGTCCTTTACCGACTACTGTTGTTTAAACATATCGCGGAAGGGTCTAAGTTGTGATTTTTTCAGAAGAAAAAACTTAAAAAAATAAAAAAAAATGGATGTCTTGCGAACGTGTTCGCGCTATCGTAGTCAGCTGAGGCCTATCTGCTGGATTTGTCAACTATCACTCGCTCACGAGGTCAGCAAGAGGGAGGCTGCCGCACCCGCCACGCT